TACCTTCCTCTGCTATGGCACCAAATGAGCTGCATTATTCATTAGGCTCTGTGTCCACTGTTTTCCTTTTTCGCTGAGGAGGACGTGTACTTGCAGTTGAGCCCAAGGACCCAAGCCAGACTTCCCAAGCCTCACCAGAGTCCCCACCCCAAGGGCTTACAAACCCAGCACCCACTGTGTAGGTGGGCCAAGAGACCTGAGCCAGGCGACTTGAGTCCTACCAGATCCCCAACACCCACCTCACAGGCAGGCCAAGAGGCATGAGCCAGAGACCCAAGCCTCACTGGATCCCATACCCCTGGGGTTCACAAACCCAATGCCCACCTCATGCAGGCAGGCCAAGAGACCCAGGCTAGGTGATCTGAGCCCAGCTGGATGCCCCACCATGAGGATTCACAAACCCAACACCCACCTAGTGGGTGGGCCTCAGAAACTGAGCCAAGCCCCACCAGATCCCCCACCCTTGGGGCTCATGAACCCAGCACCCACTGACTCCAGGCTGCCATGGGTTGCCTCACCTCAGCATCAACAATTTTATTGTGCAGCCTTGCCCAGTCTAGCCTGTCTCCTGTTCCAGCTCCTACTGGTGGGTGCTGCAGCCTATCCCAGCACAGCCTGATCACTATCCCAACCCTAACATGAACTGGCTGGTGTTGCAGCCCAGTCTGGCTCCTCCTGCATCCTGTTCTGGTTCTCAGATCTGCCAGTGGATATTATGAACTGGCCCAGACTGGTCTGTCCCCAGACCTGACCCACATGTATGTCAGCAGGTACTGTAACCTGGCATTGTCTGGGCTGCTCCTTGCCCTGATCCTTGAGCTCACCTGCAGGGACTGCATCCCGACAAAGCAGTTTCCCAAGCTCTTCTATCGGGTCTCCTCCCAGTAGAAGTCCTCATGCACATCAGTGCATCCTTGACCCAGGTTGACTTTGTACGCCTCCCATCCTGGCAAAAACAGTGATCTTTCTCAATTGGCCACAACAATTATGGTTCTCACTCCTGGGTGTTGCAGTCCAGCAATACCTGGTCCATGCTGAGACACAGCTTTCATGTAGTTCAGCAGGAGTCAAGACCTAGCCCAGCCCATTCTACACCTAACCTGGCTCTCACGAATACCAGTAGGGGGCTGGAGCCTAGCCCAATCTGTCATTCCCCAGTCTCACTGGTGGAGACTGTAGCCATATCTAGCCCAGCTTGCTGCCTCTAGTCCTGCTCTCATTCTCACCAGTGGGAACCCCAACCATGCTGGAGCATCCCCTTAGCAGGATCTAAGGCCTGTTCCCATCCATACATCTGGAGGCTGGGCTAGACTGGGCCAGTTCATAAAATCAAATCCACTGGCAGATCTGAGAACCAGATCAGGTTGTAGGACAGGCAAGAATGAACCAGGTCAAGCCGTAACACCAACCAGTTCACATTAGGGATGCCAAGGTGAGCCATGCCAGTATAGGTGCAATGGGGGATCTGGTGGTGGGTGCCAGGTCAATGAGTCCTGCTGCCAAAGAGTCTGGCCTGGATCCTTGGGCCTGCCTGAGCAGTGGGTACTGGGTCCGTGCCCTGGGGCGGGGGAGTCCATCAGTCCCCGGGTCACCTGGCCCAGGTCCTTGGGTCCTCCTATGTGGGGGGTGCAGATCCATGAGCCCCCAGGGTGAGGAGTCCAGCAGGGTCCTACTCAAGCGGCTGCGGGGTGCCAACAGCATCATGGAGGAAACTCACTGGCTACCCAGGGGCATGCTTGCGTGACAGAGGCCAGCTCCAGCCAAGTTCAGAGCTGGAGCAGGATGTGTGGAGTTGGCAAAAGGAGGCATGAACACATTCACTTGGTGCCTTCTTGTAACAGCTCAAGAAGCTGTCCTTTTTTATTTGCCCAGCCCTATCATAAGCTTCTGCACAAACATTTAACTGTTCTATTTTTATTTCATGGCTAAGGAGGCATGGACAGATATTTGGTCATTCTGTTTATACTTCATGACTAAGCAGGTGCCTGCCCCTAAAGATAATTCTACAAAATACTATATTCATATTCTTAAAAGCAATACATTGTTCATTCTTCAGTAGTAACCATGGAGTGACAGCCAGGATTCCAAGGCCCATATGATTACCTGCAATCAGTAATAACATTCCTGCTACATTTCTATTTATTTCTACAATTTACCCATCACTTAATGGGAAAAGTATGTCACAAGGGAAAAAACATAAAGATCCAAGACAAAAATTTCAAATATTAAATCTCCTTCAACTATAGGTTCTACAACCCCATAAATAACCAAATAATTAAAAGCATATCTCTACATTAATAAAAGCATCCTTTAAGTCTTCTAACCAAAAATTATATAAGTGGCTAAAACAGATACATTTCCTATGCTCCAAAGAAATTGCAAAGGCAGGCTAGCCTTTAAGATCACAATGATTGTATGTATCACCATAGCAATTTCAGCTCATACGCCCATCATTTTCATTAATTTTTAGGACACTTACCAAGCCATTTCCCAAAAGGCAAGCTACATGTCTGGACCAAATTCCAGGGCAATAGTTAGGCACGCAGTAAGGTGCCCAGAAATGGCATGGGCTTAATTGTACTCCTGTGTGCAAATTATTGAAGGCCCACTCACCAAAACATGACCAGCAACATTAACTCCCAAGCTCACACTGGTTACAAAAACCATCTCACAAGGGCAAACAACAATGTTGTGATAGACTACAGAATTCTTAGTCAGGTGGTTGAGTGTCCATGCAAAAGAGGGTGAGTTAAGGTGGTCGGAGAGACATCAGCCAGGCCTTGCCATACAGCTGGAAGTTCTTCACGGCCTTACCAACAGGGGAGCTGTTCTCTTCATACCTTCATGTCATCTGTACCCACTGCATGGACCCAGCACTTGTGATGACTTGGTGTGTGGGCTTGTGAAGGAGCTAAGTGCATCAGTGGACAAAGGAGCTATTCGCAAGCCAGGAACACCTGGACTTGTGACTAACCTTGGAACACCAAGCAACAGACCGAATGCCCAGGTGCTGTCTCTCCTTTGTGCCTCCCTCTGGTTAAAAAGAAGACAGCGTCCCTGGCCTCAATACTGTCTTTTCTTCTTGCTTTCTGTGAATTACAAGTAATGAATCAAAGCATACCAAGACTCTATTCTAAGAATTGCTAGCTTCACATATCATGAGGATTAACTAAAGCTTTGTATGACACCCAGGTTCTTTCTAGGTATAAAAGACTATGTTTTCTTAGACAAAGTGCATCATCCTGAAAGTGTGGATGATGGTCACAGTGAAGATTAATAAAATAGTTTCTCCACTAAGCATCTTCTTGTCTGTTCAATTAATCCTGGAAGGTTTGCAAGGGTCTGGCGATAGTGTGGGGCAGGGAGACATGCAGGTACCTGGGGTCTCACACACAGGATTGGTGGTCTGACCACGGAGTGCATGTGTCAGAGCTAGACCTCCTCAATGGAAAAAGATGAAGCAGTGAACTACTGGTTAAGATGATATGGTAGCCCATTAGGGCCTGCAGAAGACATTTGGTACCGTAGCAGAGGAAGGACAGTAATCCAGCCAAATGAGGACAGCAAATATCTGGGTGAATAGAGACTATGTCAACCAATGGACATTGGAAGGTGTTTCTCACCCTTGGATCGCCAAAATTTACAGCATTTCAGAATTAGAGAAACCACTTGGGCAGAACCCTGAGAGCATTCACCATATCAGGGACCCTGGTTTGATATCAGGTGGCCATTTCCCATCACTGGATACTGGGGCAGTTGGGAGGCTGAATATGGCTTCTGCCCTTATGTTCTCCCTTCCATTAGATACAGGAAGAAGAAATTTTTTAAAATTGGAAACAATGATCACACCCACTTTTCCCTAATACTCGAGCCTTCCCACTCTGATTAACTATGCAAACATCATCAAATGTTTTTAATTTATTTTAAGATTATTTTTCTTTTTCATGGCTAAATGATATTCCAGTATCTATCCATTAAAGGACAAATTGCTTCCATCTCATGGCTACTGTGTCAAATGTCATGGTGAATATGAGAGAGCAGTTCTTTCAATTTATTGTTATTTGTGTATTCTTTTTTTTTTTTTGGTTTTCAATAATTTGTTTTATCTATCTGAAAGGCACAGTTACAGAGAGGGACATAGAAGATAGAGATATCTTCTATATTCTGGGTTGTTCTCCATGTAGCCACAATAGGCAAGGCTGGGCCAGGCTGAAATCAAGAGCCAGGAATTTCTATGTGTCTGTCAGTTGGGCAGCAAGGGCCCCGACACTTGGTCATCATCTTCTTCTTTCCCGGATACATTCACAGAGACATGAATTAGAAGTGGAGTAGTCAGAACTCATACCAGTGCCTGTATAGATACTGGCATTACAGGCAAGAGCTTAACGCTTTATAGCATAATGGCAGCCCCTAAACAAAATTTTTCTCAAAACTTAAATTTTTGGAAGCCACGTCATCACCACAGCTTTTTCCTGATCTGAAATCTCCCCTGAAGAGCTCTGCCTGAGAAACACTTTTATTATGTTGTCAACAAACTGGAAAACTGGAGTGCGCTTTCTTCTATCTCCAGAACTTAGGGGGAAACTGGCAGTGCCAAGAAGTATCAAGGTTATTCTTAAAAATATATCAATCCAAGCATGTGACTTTAGATAAGGATAGAATATGGCCACAGGTTGGGATTGCTCTGATCCGTGTCTTTGCATTTTCATAAAGGCAATAAAAAATGACTAAGCGTGAGCTGCTTCATGGCAGCAGCAACACAAGGAAATCCAAGATCCCTGACAGATGTGAGCAACAGGAATTTTCAGACCCATCTAGTGCTCCATCATTGGGGAAACTCAGCCACTCTCCCTGTGTCTCCTGGGGATTTCTTCTCTTTCATAGTAGCTAGTTTTCTCTCTTACATTGACCAGAAGGGGAAACCAAAATGCACAACTTAGGGAAAGAAGTGAAGGAGTAATGTGTTTAATAATGATCCCAAAGCCAGTAAAGATGTGAAACTAGACTCTGACAGGTAGGTTGCAAGAGTTACGTTTGCAACAAATCAGTTCCGTCCTCTTTTCAAAACCCAGGAAGTTGATGTCCTCACAGTTAGTCATGCATGATAGCTTTGAATACTGATACAAACTTTGTCCTAAAGAAGAGAAAAAGGGAAATACAATTAATGACTTCATTTACTCTTCCTGTACTCCCAGGAATAACCTACCTTCAGGTGCTCACTAACCATTCTCCAGGTCCAAATGAGCAACCGAACCAGAATCTGTTACTGACCAAATGCCTGAATTATATGCCCTGACTGATAAGAGATACTAGCATCTTCTTCGCTCAATGATGTCTTAAATCCATCCTTGCCTTTCCCTCCACATGACCAACCTATTCAACCCCTTCATTCTAAGGGCAATCACTGCTGCTTCAAAGGAAAGGAGGTGTCTATTTCTGTCGCTCCACATGCCATGTTACCTTTGGGGTTAAGTAAGTAAATGTTCTCAATAGCACAAGACTGCCGATGCTTCAAGCTGCAGAGCTCCATATCTTCATAGCATGCCCCAGAGTGGTATCTTTTACATTTAAAGCACATTATTTCCATCTCTGTCAGACACAAGAAAAGATGCTTAGAGGGTGTGACCTGGAGAAGGGTCTCTGAGCCTTGAGATTTCTCTATGGAAAAGTAATTTCTTGGGCCACAGACAAATCTGATAATCTTGTAAAAACACCTATAAATCAAATGCTATACATAGCTTCTGGAGACCAGGGTTTTTGTAAAACTTATCCATGGGCCTTATGTAATGAATCTTATGTCTAGATTAGTGATTTTGTCCAGTAACGGGTGAAACAAAATATAAAAGAATATTTTAACCTGCTTACTCCAAGAAATGTGTTATTTGGTTCTGCTAGGAGGAACCAGCCTTAGTAACCTGTGGCAACAGCAGATTTCAACTCTGAGAATGGAGGTGGGATTCACTCCAAAAATGCCATGAATGATCTGTTGAAAATGACTTTAGCCCCTCCATGGTCATACCTTTTAGATGTTGTTGAAGATTACCTATGAATTAAAAAAAATTCTTCTTTGGAACAATCCCACAGACATTTTCCATAGCCCCCAAAACTATTTCCCTTCCTTAAAAATCCGTCCATTTACTATGCCCATCATAAGCTGCCTCTTTATTTCCAGGACTTACCATAATATGTACAGAACAAAGAGACTACACCCAGCAGAAACAAAACAAACATCCTACAACTTTTGTCATGTGCAGCTTCTGGTGGAAGCAGCTGATTCTTCTCCCATCATGTGTTCTTAGGCTGTTCATCTAAATCATATCATAAAATTTCAGGGACATAGTGTTCTTCAATGTTCTCAGAGCCAAGTCAACACATCCAACTCCCTCACAGCAGTCTAAAGATAGTCTCTAATCAGATTTTGTACAAAGCGTCTATTGAGAAAGAAATCATGATCTTCCTGATTGTCCAAACTGGTCTTTAAAAATCTGAAAAACTATTTGCTATTCTCTGGCATCCTCAAAGATAAATCTATAATAAATCTTATCCATTTTGTCTACTAGTTTTCTTCATCTTGGATTATTAGTCTCCTTCTTCAGTACTGTTCCACAACCCAACATATTATGTCTTGCTTGAATCACACAATAGCCCTGGTTTTAACTTCTCTGCTTCTGCTTTTGTTTTGTTTTGTTTTTTTAACAATACTTTACCAAGGAAACAATCCTTTGTAAGTCACAGACAATGTGTAACTACTCAAAACCCTCCAATGATTTCTCATCACATTAAAAAAAAAAACCCAAAGCTCTTATTGCCACTTACAGCACATCTAGACCAGGGTGAGGAGGGAGATGAGATGTAAGCGTAAGTTTTATTTTAAAGATTTATTTTTTATTATTTTTTTTATTGGAAATGCGGATATACAGAGAGGAGAGACAGAGAGGAAGATCTTCCGTCCGATGATTCATCCCCAAGTGAGCGCAACGGCCGATGCTATGCCGATCCGAAGCCAGGAGCCTCTTCCAGGTCTCCCATGTGGGTGCAGGGTCCCAAAGCTTTGGGCCGTCCTCGACTGCTTTCCCGAGCCACAGGCAGGAAGCTGGATGGGAAGCAGGGCTGCCGGGATAGAACCGGTGCCCATATGGGATCCCGGGCGTGCAAGGCGAGGACTTAACCACTGCGCCACCACGCCGGGCCCAAGACTTTAATATCTACATTGTGTGTATTTGGTTTATTTGACACTAATGTAAGTTTTGCATTTACATGAATTTCTTTGGTTATTATAAAGCAAAAACAAAAACTGCAGTTTCTTCCATAGTGATTTTTTTCCTTAGCCACTCCATTGCTGAATTAACAAAAATTAAAATGCAATATTGTATACTTGTAAACATTAAATAGGATCTTGATGTTTTAGAAGCACAAGAATGAATTCCTACAGACTAATAAAATTAGAAAAGATGAATGATCCAAAAACAGGTGATGTGGATATTTATCCTGGGAAAGCAGTCAAGGATGGCCCAAAGCCTTGGGACCCTGCACCCACATGGGAGACCTGGAACAAGCTTCTGGCTCCTGGCTTTGGATCAGCTCAGCTCTAGCCATTGCAGCCACATGGGGAGTGAATCAGTGGACAGAAGATCTTTCTCTCTGTCTCTCCTCTCTATAAATCTAACTTGTCAATAAAAATACTTTCTTAAAAAATAAATAAATATGGTTAGTGAGCATCATATCCCTTCAAGTTTTATTCTGGGTTATCTTTGTGTCTTTGAAATAAGAACAATTCAAAGAATCCCCATTATGTCCAAAAATGATGGGCATTTTTTGAATTCTCACTATTCCAGTCACAGCCGAATATTTCAGGCTCACTTAGAGCCTTCCTTCCACAGAGGACGTAAGCTGTTTCTGGTGGGAAAGGTCGTTAAAACACCAGAATAGAAGTGCTAATTGTGCTTCTTGCTATAGAAGTGTCACTATTCTAAATCTTTTCCATGACCAAAACCTCAGAACGCTTATACACACACACACACACACACACACACTCACACAAACACACACAGAGTTTATTGTAGAATTTCCTTTTAACCTTTCTATATTGATATGCTCTTTCCATGACAGTGAGAAATTTGGCTGCAAACATCTTTGGTATATTTGTTTATTTGATCAACCCTTTCTATACAATAAGCAGATTTCCAGTGCTACAACCTGACCTCACTTGGGTTCCATAATTCCATAATTCCTATTCCACAATGCTAGCATGAATATCCCCTTGTACATGTTCCCTCTTCACAATCTGCAGGCTCAGAGAGCTTTCCCAAGCCACTACTCATGCTATTTGAGTGCCAATATACCTCGCCAGGCTGACACTGCTCTCCCTGACATCAGTTGACCTCTTCACACAATTTTAAATTCTGACAATTGAGGCTGAACCATATGACACACTTTTCACTCCACTCAGGCTCCGCCAGCCCATACTCATCCACTTCCACTGTTACCACACTCTACCCAGACAGCTTCCTCAGTATTGTTAGGTTGAAACAACCTGAACGAAAGTTTATGTCTGCAAGACCCACTCCACTAGAACTTCCAATACTCTGCTCTGAGTCTCTCCAGTAACCTCACTCAAGAGCTGCCTTCTCAGTCTAAATGACTTTTAGATTGAATTCTTAGGGAAGTAGGTAAAGGAAGATAACTGATATTTTCTCATTTTGCCAATGCTGATTTTCATAGTTCCTAGCATTTCCCTAGTTTTAATTCACATTTAAAACATTTTTTTTATTGTTGCTTACATTATATTATGTAGTACAGTTTTATAGGCGCTGGGGATCTCCCCCACCCTTCCCATACCCCTCCCCCCATGGTGGATTCCTCCACCTTGTTGCATAACCATAGTTCAAGTTCAGTTGAGATTCATTGCTTGCAAACACATGCCTAGCATAAAGTTCAGCGTCTTATTGTCCAGATAAGTTCAGTGGCCTCTTGGGGAGACCTTCTATGGTCTGAAGATAGGTCTAACAGAGTAAAGATCCAGTCAGTTAAAAGCCCCAACAAGGCCTCAGTATCATTATACAACATTATGGAATTAATTGACATAGTATTGGGTAAACAATATGTTAAAAATAATGCAAGTTCCATTCTTCGAAACATCTGGGTTGAGACAGTATCAATGACAGGTTCAAAAAATAACAAACAACCAAACAAAAAATTACAGGTTAAATCAAGGCAAACATGTGGTATCTAATCTTTTGGGATTCGCTCATTTCCCTTAGCATTATAGTTTCCAGTTGTGCCCATTTAGCCACAAAGAACTGCATTTTGTTTTTTTTAATAGCTGAGTAGTATTCCATGGAGTAGATGAACCAAAGCTTTCTTATCCAATCTTCTGCTGATGGGCATTTCGGTTGCTTCCATGTTTTCGCAATTACTGATTGTGCTGCAATGAACATAGGGATGCATGTTGGTTTGTCGTAAAACAGGTGTTTTGGATATATTCCTAGGAGTGCTATTGCTGGGTCATATGGTATGCAGATTTTGAGTTGTTTGAGTGTTCTCCAGACTGATTTCCATAAAGGCTGTACCAATTTGCAGCTCCACCAGCAGTGGAGTAGGGTTCCCTTTTCCCCGCATCCTCGCCAGCAAGCGTCGTTGGTGTTCTTGTTTATGTGGGCCAATCTTACTGGTGTTAGGTGGTACCTCATCGATGTTTTAATTTGGATTTCCCTTATTGCTAGGGAGCTGGAACATTTTTTCATATGTTTGTTTGCCATTTGGACTTGTTCCTTTGTGAAATGTTTGCCCATTTCCCGTGCCCATTTCTTGAGTGGCTTGTTTGTTTTGGTTTTTTGGTTGTTTTGAAGTTCTTTGTATATCCTGGAAATTAGCCCCCTATCGCCTATATCGTGTGCAAAGATCTTCTCCCACTCTGTGGGTTGCTTTTTTACTTTGTTGATTGTTTCCCTTGCTGTACAGAAGCTTCTTAGTTTGATGAGGTCCCATTTGTTTATTCTGTTCTCAACTGCTATTGCTTTTGGTGTCCTTCTTAGAAAGTCGGTACCTACTCCTAGGTCTTGCAGGGTATTTCCTACATTTTCTTGCAAGAGTTTGAAGGTTTCTGGATGTAGGTTTAGGTCTTTTATCCATGTAGATTGGATCTTAGTGTATGGTGATAGATGTGGGTCTATCTTTTTGTTTCTACAGGCTATCAGCCAGTTGTCCCAACAACATTTACTAAAGAGTCCTTCCCACTTGCTTAAGCTGTCATTGGTCTTTTTGTCAAAGATTAATTGGCTGTATCTGTGTGGATTCCCTTTTGGTGCTTCTATTCTATTCCATTGATCTTCCTTTCTGTCTTTGTGCCAGTACCAGGCTGTTTTGATAACCACTGCTCTATAGTATGTCCAGAGGTCCGGGATTGTGATTCCCCCTGCTAATTTCTTATTTTTCAGGATGGTTCTAGCTATTCGTGGTTTTTTGTGTTTCCAGATGAACTTTTGAATCATTGTATCCAGTTCCGTGAAGAATGTTTTGGGCAATTTGATTGGAATTGCGTTGAAAATGTATATTGCTAGTGGTAGTATAGACATTTTAATGATATTGATTTTGCCTATCCAGGAGCACGGGATGTTATTCCATCTTTTGAGGTTTTGTTCAGTTTCCTTTTTAAATAGTTTGTAGTTTTCTTCGAATAGGTCTCCTACACTTTTGGTTAGATTTATTCCCAAATACTTCATACTTCTCTCTGCTATTTTGAATGGTATCCTGTTGGTTAGATCTTCTTCCATCTTGGTGTTATTTGCGTACACTATGGCTGTTGATTTTCGTTCGTTAATTTTGTACCCCGCCACTCTGCCAAACTCTCGTATAAGTTCTAGCAGTTTCTGTATTGAGTCTCCTGGTTTTTCTATGTATAGGATTATGTCATCTGCATATAGTGAAAGCTTGACTTCTTCGTTTCCTATACGTATGCCTTTGATTTCTTTTTCTTGTCTTATGGCCTCTGCAAGTACCTCTAGGACTATGTTGAATAGCAGTGGTGATGGTGGGCACCCTTGTCTTGTTCCAGATCTCAGTGGGAAGGGTTCTAGCTTTTCTCCATTCAGTATGATACTGGCGTTGGGTTTTTCATAAATTGCTTTAATTATGTTGTGGATTTTCCCATCTATGCCTACTTTGGCTAGAGTTTTTACCATGAAGAGGTGTTGGATTTTGTCGAAAGCTTTTTCTGCATCTATTGAAACTAT